CTTCTTTTGCTCTCAGTTTTCGGGGATATGGGCAACCGTTGGGGCTTGGAGGCTCTGTCTAGGGCAGTGATTGCTCACATGTTGACAAATCAGTAAGCAAAGAGCTGTGCCACCCTCCCCATCCAGTGATCATTGACCCATTTCCTGAAGGTCCCAGCATGCTCCCAACAGCACTGCCAGCTGGAGGCCAAGAGCGTCTGTGAGGGAAATTTCACATTCAAACCAGATGCTCCTTTCCTCCAAGGTTTCATTCAGGTATCTTTTTATATTGGCCCTGCTTTCTATTTCTCATCATTAAGCCAAGCGAGTTTTTCCTACACCTGCAATTTACTGGAGTTTGCAGGGCGAGTGGGGGCTCCTACAGCCCCCTGGTGATAAAAGGATAGAGCTCTGTATCTATAGGTTGTGGTGTTCTCTCCCCCCAGGGATCATTGGCCTGGAGGACAAAGGGAGGAGAAGCGTCCAACAGAGTTAGGTGAGGATGGAGTTGGATGGCCTGTGGGTACCAAGGAATAACTTTCAGGGACCAGCTTCAGCGAGACTGCTCAACTTTATTCGGGTGAACAAAGGCTATACAGTTCTTAGGGAGTGGTTGAAGGGTTTCCTGGGTAGATGCACATTACTGGCTTTGAAGTGCCAGGAATGCTTTATTTGTATTTGGCAGCACAGTCCTATCATAGGAACTGGAACTCAGTACCTAATGATCCTATGGGCAGCAGTGGGGAGAGTGTGAGCATGTTGAACTGTGACAAGGTCACGTTCCAGCTATGCCTTGTGCTTAGAGCTGCTTCCCAGATGAGGTCAGGCAGAGACAAAGAAGCCCCTGCTGAGAAAGGGAATCCCCCAGGGCGGGCTTCGATCTCAAACAGCAGGGGTCTCCAACACACGGTGTCTCTTACCTTCTGTTCTTTCTTTTATTTTGTAGAGTTGGGATAGATCCCAGGCCTTGCATTTGCTCAGCAGGCATTTCACTATCCAGCCAAACTCTCAGGCCACGAGTCATACTTTTCCATGTGTCGTCCAGCTCATTGTAGGGTGCTTCTTGCTGCTGAGGGTGTCTCTGTTCTCTCCTTGACAGTATACGGGTATCTTAGCTTGTAAGAGAAAAAAGAAATGTTCCTGGGTGTTGAGGATGGGAATTTGGGAATGTGTTTTTTCCCCCACCCTTCTCTTAAATGATTTCTGGTTATAGAAAGAGTAACAGTAATACATTCAGTCATTTTCACACCATGACTCCTCTATTTTTCAGGAGAGTAGTGTCTATATGTTAGGAAAAATTAGAAGTCTACTTGCATGCTGCCTAACTTGTCATTAGGCTATTCAGAATTATAGATTTTTAGAACAAAATAAAAAGTCTTTCAAAATGGTTTGTCGATCATGTTTCTAAAAATGTGGTAATATTAAAACAAGCTTTTGACTAGCCATTACTTGGAGCCTAGTAATTACAATACACTGAAAATCACAGGCTCCCAAAAGGTAGATCCATTAGGCTTACATTACTTACTCGCTCCTTATAAAATACTAAGCCTCACAATATTTAACTATTTCCCACAAGGTCAGATTCTCGAATCCTTTTGGGTCATCTGGGACTTGAGTTGGGATGGTTGGTAGCAAACTGAAAACAGAGTCCATTCCACGCAGCCCAAAGTATCTGCTTATTTGGAACGAAGTATTTAAAGTATTCATACAGGGCTCATTGTAGGGTGCTTCTGGTCCTGAAAAATATTATCATAAAGCAGAAACTTGTCAACTAATTTTGAGTATGTTAGTGACAATACAGTTATGTTCCCAACTAAACAATGTTTGAGGTGCCTGAACTGAGTTCAGATGATGGGAGGCTGACTGGAGATTTTGTTATTGTTGCTGACAACATGATTGTTTTCTGCCTGGACTTTCGTATTGCCATGAAAGACATCCATGTGGACTAAAATTTAGGACAGTCTTGAGAGTCACATGCCGCTTCTCAAATTCCAGTTCAGTTTTTGAAAGAATAGCCCCTTTTCAGACTCAGAGGATTAAATTCCTTTTGCAACCATACTGCACATGACGGAGAGGCGCTTGGGGATTCAAACACATCTTGAGGGTTCTGTACCAAAAGCAGGTGCAGAAACTTAAAGTATGAGTCACGTTTGTCAGAATGATTCTATTTCTACAGAAATAGGACAACTCTTCAGAATGCATAATTCCATTAAGCTCTGGGCTCAATCCACATGCTTTTCTTAAGCCTAGCATTTTTCATCTCCTGAAACAAATGCGCCCCCCCCCCCCCCCCACTGTTGTTCCAAGTTCAGTATATTCCGCTGTTTCATCAGAACAGCATGAAAGCAAATTCTCTTGGGCGCCTGTATGTTGGATAAGCTGGGCCTGTGAGAATTCGTTAATTCCCCAAAGCCCTTGACCTTAAAACATCTTGTTAACAAGATCTGGAGTTCTAGGATTCTGACTGCATTAAAACAAATTCAAACTGCACACTTTGCTTTGTCTTCGCCCTGATAATCAGAAACTGCTTGGAGAGTGGGCGTGAAGAACATTAACACCATAACTCCTGTGCCTATATGAGGAAAAGGCCTTCTCTTCGTATAGCCAAGGGCAAAGTGGCTGACACGGATTCGAGGAGCATCAGACCACAGCTTTTGTCTTCAGTGGGCACTGGAGCATCTCTCCGTTCTTCCACTGCAGG